CTTTCACGAAAAATTTTCTCCACTGATCGTAAGAAATCAGGCTAGACCTATGTATATCATTGATATGACTTTCATGAACGCCCAGCATCATTGCCAGTACTTTCTCGGCGACCAGATGGTTGGTTAGATGAACAGCGTGTTCCGGGCTAAGTCGAACACGTTCCAGCAATATTGGGCACACGATGACAATTTGTAGGCGAGAAGATCGGATCTTCTCTTCCGTCTTCAATGCTATCGGCTCCTCGATCGCGATATGACGTACTCTGAGTCAGAAACGTTTGTTTGAAATTTTATTTAAACTTGTAACACGTAGCAAAGATATACATAAGATATTTCATTTTGCACTTACTTGAATGGAGGTCGCCCTTGCTGACGACTGATTTGCTCAAAACACGCGGTGAGGTAGATAACCCATGTATTAGAAGCTTCGCTTTCCTTACTAGAAACGAAGACGACATCATCCTCTGCGTGTCCGTCCCTTGATAAAGCTGTAGCTGAATGCGACCCTGAAACAAGCAATTGAAACATCAAATTAATTGACTCAAGTATATCTGTAAGATTGCTTCTCACATGGGGTCGTATAAAAAAAAAAAGATTGTAAGTTGATTCGATACATCGCTAAACTATTGTATTAAAATAACATTGATTAATTATGCAATCCATTTCGCTCACTTTAATATTTGTTTGTAGATTAATTAATGAGTTGCGTGAATTCTTTCTCAGCGTGTTAATTTGCCGACCTAGTTGACCGTCTTTAATTTACAAAATGTTTTCTGTATATGTGTCACAAGCAACCTTGATTTAGCTTTGTCATACACAGAGAATGCATTTAATTTTGTGTGACGCACATCACAGAACACGCGATGTGGTTGTAATATGTTTGATGAAATAATGTCACAGATAACATGGCCACTTCGTGCTACATGCGAAAACATAGAATAATGAAACAGCTTTGTAAAATTTTAATGCAAAATCGGCACACTACAGCCTCGAATCAATTTAATATAATATTGTTGATACATAACACAAACGTACAGAATAGACGTAACAATCTTGTTCCCATTGCGCAGTAATGGCAAACAATTATTTATATCTATTACTTTTTACATACTATTTTTATATTTAGTATAATATTTTTATAAAAAGATATTTTCATATTTCAATAATTTAATAAAAATAATAATTTCAAGGAATTATTTCAAGGAATATTAAGAAATTTTAAACAAGGATTAATTAAAAAAAATTGACTCTAAATCCACTGAAATTATTGAAAATGTATATAGTTTTTTTCGGACACTTTGTGTACATATTTTTATATATTATTTTATAGAATATAAACTAACAAATAATAATCATTTTGAAAATATTTTATAATAATGAAGAAAGAGAGAGTTTGCTGTTTTTATTCAATTAACAAATTATCGCAATAACTTTTACTTCTAGTACGTGAGGCGCGTGGCTCCCGTTTTTGGTATTTCCGGTTTTAAATTGAATTCATTACTTGTGAGACTAAGTTAAATCTATTTAGGGTCAAAGTAAATTTTGTATATACCGTTATAGGCTACATAAAGTTTTAATTACTTAACTCGACATTAATATCATTTCCTTCCGCTAATCTATATTTTTCGTATACAACGCGCGTTCTTTGGTACATTTGTTAATATTTATAACATTATTCGTTTATCTCCTTTTTTTAGAAACTGTAAAAATTTTAATTTTTATATCATCTTGATTATAATAAAAAAATAATTTTAGGACCATTCCAAATTTATTCTTCAAGTTTAGATTATTCATAATAATATTTTATTATATTACTTTTAATTATTATATTATATCCTTTATGTTATATTTTATGTTACATTATTATTATTATAATATAAAATAAATTATTTGATAATATTATTAATTTTATTTCAATTTTAATCGTTAGCGATACTCGTTAATCTCGACTAAAAACAGCGGCAATAATATCGCGAGAAGTATGGTCAGTTCGTAACGCACGTGGGTCGCGGGTCGTTCTTGAATGATGATAATTTCTGCAAAAAGATCAACGCACTCGAAGAGGCGCATGTCAGATTATTTCAAGACGCGCGATTCGCCCCTCCGCCACTCGAGGAATGCACGTACGTTCACCATTCGCGCGATAGCTCGCACTCTCGAGGGATAACGTTTTCTCTCGCTTCGACTTACGTGTTATCGCAGAAAGATCTAAGAACTTTGGCCGGTTTCGTCTTCGCGGTCGAGGGCTGGCACAGATATCGGCAATCATTTTCTGTGTGAACGCTCCCAATTGTATTCAGAAGACAAAAATCATCGAAGAACGCGCGCAACCCTTTCGATACTCGTACCCTTCGTTTTAATAACGGGAATTAAATTCCAATCTTCTATCCATTCCAAACTCCATCATTGAATGTCGCGGTTATATGAGCGTGATTCGACGCACGCTTGGATTACTTTCGTTTTCTATCACAAGATCTATCGCAAGATGCGTCTTCTTAATCGAGAATTCCCAACGAGAACGAGTCCACGGATGACGAAGTACGACTGCTTGAAGTCACTCTCGAGAGGAAATCGTACCGTTCATTTCGAGGCCCCACCCCGCGCCCATTGTTTTCACGCTCGGCTTCGGCAAGACGAATTAGGCGGTGCTCATAATTTTTTCCTGTACGCATGATGCATGACAAGTTCCGAGCTCTCCATCCGAATCGTCCGTATTCGCGCCGACTACGTCAAACAATGACGGTATTATACAACCATATGCCAAATCTGTGGTGTGATAGACTGAATTAAGTCTTCATTATATTTGGCCAATGTAATCCATTTGCATTATTTTATTTGTTCAAAGCGTAGGTTTCATTAATTGTGTTTAAAAAATGAAATTCTTTATATATGTTTTATTTAAAAAATATTTTGAATCTCTTTGAAGCAGGTATTTTTTAACGAAAGTTATGAATAATTTTATTTTTACGAAATGAAAGGTATTTATTTTTATTTATAATTTTATTTGATTAATATTGGCACGAGTAATTTTAAGGGGCTAACATACGATAATTTTTGAACAAAGTGTTGACAAACAAAAAGTTAGAATATATCTGATGCTACCTCAATCTCATCTCTATTCAACTCACACGCAATGAATTCTGCATTTCACATTAACATACCACATATTCTGCATTGAATACATCAGGATGCGATAGCTGACGTCTTCGTAAAGAATTCGTGAAAGTTACGCGCGAAGAAACAACATTTTACAGTTTTATTTGTAAGAATAATTAATTACTATGATCTCTAATTATAAAATGTACAATATGTTTTATAAAATATATGCACAATTGTGCTTCATCAATTTTAGTCTCACCTATTTGCGATATCAATATTTGAACAAATTTTTTTTCATTCAAAAAGTTTCTACGAAAAATTGGTTTATTTCTATGCTTTCTCGCCTTTTAAGTTATTAACTTCATTATTCTGAATAAGAAAGGGTAATATAATATTAGAGGATAATTACCAAAATATTCGGCGCATCGTTTGGCGTAATAATCTTCCGCTTTTATTCTCATTTTTATTTCGTTAATACCATCTACGCACTGATCGATTCCATCCATTCATTTCAATTCACTAAAAAAAAAGATCACTTAATATTGGCTCGATAATGAGATGAATATTCTTGTCAGAAACATAAATTAAAATCAACATAATCCCGACAAAATAAATTTTTAATATATAAACAACACTTTTAATATTTACTACTTCTTAATGGAAACGCGAGAAGTGGCATGTTGTGCAAATACATTTTCCGCATGTTGTGCCGAAGATTAGACTCATGAATATTACGCCAGTATTTTTAATTGATATCGAAAAGTTAAAAAAAAATATGCGAGACTTGACGAGTGTAAAACTGATCTCTAGTGTGAGGCGCGGTGGAACTGAGCGGACATTCAAGTATTTCTCGGGGATGCACCGACCATCGCGATGTTCGCGATGTGCCCGGCGCAGGCGCGTAACTAAGACAGAATCGTTTGTAATGAAGATCTTTTGGATCCACGTGGCGATCCGTTGATCTCGTTCATTATCACGTCAATGGAATCAGCAGAAAAAAAGTCTTTCATAACTTTCATAAATTAATACTCAATTAAGAATCCTTGTTTAATCGAGATGTATTTCATCGATTACTGCAAATCGTATTTTCGATGTGACATTTAATTTGTCCATTTTTTTTATGCAGAATATTATATGTTATATTATCAATAATTCTCAACAGTTTAACTTGAAGAATTAAAATTTTCCACTTACAATTAATTCAAGATAAATTAACATTCATTCGCTAAAAGATTTTCGATTTTTATCGTCGGTCTATTCTGAATCTCAGAATTTCCTAAAAAGTCAGAACCGTAAAACAGAAACTCCATTCACAAACGAATTGAAATTCCGTTGGCGTAACGCGACTTTTAAAGAACGGCTGTTATTTATCGGCTCTTTTATTTCCGCCGACCTTTACCCTAAATCTCTTATCATTCTAATCCACGATTAATCATCCTCTACATTATATATTGATAATTTTTTGTGCAATGAAATTAACTAAATATACTTTTAAGTAAAAAAAAAGAATAGAGAGAAGTGTGTTTCCGATGTACTTCATTATTCTAACCGTTATCATTATTTAATTACTTCCGCTCATATTTTTTGCAATCGAGTACTCACATTTACACATAAGTGTATATTTATTTTTATTTATAAAATATTTAGAAAATTAAATAAGACATTCTGTGCATTTTTTTTTTATAATAACGTTAAAGGAAAAGTACAGAATTGTTCACGACGTTTTATATTAGTTCGTTTACTTCTGGTAATAATGCGTCGCATATCTAGTTATGCATTTGATATAGAAATTAGGCTGCTTCAATTAATCAGATCAGAAGAGGAGACTGAGTCACTCGGCCCCTTGGACGAGAGTATAATAGTAATAATTGTCTTGAGATCCACGAAAGCAATTCCTTGTATTTTACTCTGTCTCTGTCGCACTTGCATATTGTAGATACAGTTCATTGATATAGTTCATGTGTCGAAAAATTTGGACAGATAGTGTTCCATCGATAAATCCGAAAAAATCTAGGAAACCGAATTTTTTTTTATTTAATTTATGGTTATGTAGGATGAAAGTTGTATAAAGGAATGATATTTGTATAAAAAAGAAAAATTCAGATTAAATAATTATGATAGCACAATATTGCGATCCGCGTTAAGTTAAAAATATATATAGTAAAAATGACATTTCTTTTAGTCAGGAGAATTGATTTATTGTTATTTAACTAGCTGTTCATGTGTGCATTTATCCGGACGACCCTAGAAATAACAATGTGAAATAACGAATGTTGGAGATATTTCTGTCGCGGGAAACGCGTCGGATATTGCGGGAATGCAAAGCGGGTAAGAAGTCATCGCTTGTGTACGCCAACGCAGCGCGGTGCATATAACGGTTGCATTCGGGGCATATGTGCTGTTTATA